CCCCCTGCAGAAAAGTCCTGTGCTCCCTGGAGCATCAGGACAACCCAAGCCCCGAAGCTGCCTGACGAGAGGGTCGAGTTCATGGTCCCGGACCAGCCAGAGCTTTTGCAGCCTTGGCTGGGTCATTTCCCAAAACCGCGTGGAAAAATCTGGAATATGGGACATGCTCTTAGAGATCAATCGATCGCTGCCCTGTTCTTAATGCATTGCTCTTAACTAGTTCCTGCTGGACACAAACACCGTGAACTGGGGTTGTCTACAACACAGCAAACACAAACACGAGGGGCTGACTGAAGGGGACGAAAACAGAGCCAGAGCAGGTAGAGGAAAGGAGAAAAAGCACTTACCTTGGGTGAGCAGCAGGGCTGTGAGGAGAGAAGAACACAAGAAAGACAGGGAGAGAGAAGAGAAGAGAAGAGGGGAAAAAGTCAATATCCGAGGGGGAAAAGCTGTTTTGCAGATGGCAGCTGTCAGTGAGCAATGGACGTGGTGCAAAGCGGTGTGCGAGCTCACCAAGGCTGCGTGCTGGATGCAGGCTGGGGAGCAGACCCCGTGGCAGCAAGATGGAGAGGATGCTGGCAAGCACCGGATGCTGGCTGCCCAAAATTGCAGCCCCCCAAGCGAAGGCAGAGGGATGGGATGCAGGCAGGGAGTAGCAAGGAGGGGAAGAGAAAAGTCGTGGGGAGGGGAGATGCTTCCGCTTGCCATCGGGGCCTGACGTGACCCAAACTGACCCACGGGTATGGGGGATGCCCTCGCTTCGGCTGGGAGAATGTGTTTGTGGCTGGGCTTGGCACAAGCAGGGAGGCCCCAGTAAACCCACGGGTGGCTTAGAAGAGAGGGTGGCCAGGGGCGGTGGGCAGCTGAGAAGAGCATCATCGAAGGGAGGTGTTGACAAAATGGGTGCTGGGCTCCAGTGTGAAATGGGGCAGGGGGTAATGCAGCTGTGCACCACCCCCCAGGATGCCCTGGCTTGCCTACGCCCATCCCGCACCCAACCCGTACCGCTCCCACAGGACCAGGCTGCAGTCGTGGCTCTGCCTGACAAAGCCGCCTGGGCGCGCGACATGCAAGGACTTCACAGCGGGATGCAGCTGCCTCCTGGGAAACGTGACCGTGTGGTCCTGTGAAATTAGAGGTGGGAGGAAGGGAGGAGAAGGGGGCAAAGGTCCTTGCAAGGGAGGACCTTACCCTGACTTTCCGTACAGGCACAGCCTGGCCCTCTTGCTGCCTTGAGCAGTGACCTCCTGGCCCTCCCCTGCCTTGATTTCCACACTCCCCAGAGCTGTCACCAAGAAATGTCCAGGTGGATCCCTCTTAGGTGTCACCCCTAGAAAGCCACAGTCTGCATCTGAGTTTCAAACTAACTACAGGAAGACTCCATATAGCAAAAAATACTGAACCCTCTTCGAGAGAGGCCAAGCACCAGCTCTGCGCCTTAGCTTTGCCTTCTACCTGTCCTTCAAACAGCAAACGGGTCCCCAAAGACTCGGTTACATGCAATGATGGTATTGTAATTACTAACACTTATTATCGTGCACTTTTAGTCTCAGAAGCTTAAAACTCTGTGCAAAGACTGAGTCAGTATTAACAGCCCCATTTGACAGATGGTGAAGCAAGCAAAGAGAGGCTAAAGGGAACATTTTGCAAACTCAGAAGCGGGCTGGAGTCCAAAAGTGCTAATTCACCCAGGCTTGCCGGTTCAGGCCTCTGAAAAGCAGGCACTTTTATACAGAGGCACCTAATTGTATCCATGCTGGCTCGAAAGTGATTTCCTAAGCGATTCGTCAAAGGTCGCACAGCGCATCAGTGGCAGAGGGGGGAACGTAATCCTGGGTCCCGGCTCCCAGTCACGTCCCTGCTCCATTGGGCAGCACCCACGGGCAGAGTTTTCCCAACAGCCTGCGGAGAGGCATGGGCCCAGTCAAGATCTTCACCCACCTATCCACCTCCCCGGCTGGAAATGCCCCAGGCACTCGGGGAGATCTCCCCGGTCCGTGCGGGCAGGGAGAGGCGCAGTGAAAGAGGAAGGGGCAACGGGGAGGCTCCTTGCTGAGCATCCCTCATGTTTCAGGCTCAGTTCCTTGTGAGAGGCAAAAACCTTTGGGGGAACCGCTTGTGAATACAGTGCTACAGAGCCACGAGAAGCACACAACCTGCTCTGCACAACCTCTTGTCCTCTGCACAGCTCTGCCTGGAAGTCCCCAGCAGGCCTGTCCCTGCTCCTTGTAGCACCAACCCTGAGCCTCCTTGTAGCTCCATCCTGCCGCAGCTCTGTGCAACCTGTGGCCTCCTTACTCTTCTGGTTCTCCAGACAATGTGGGGGAATTTAATTTGCCTTTTGCAATTACAAGCATTAGTACAATGGGTCGATTCGGTGTTTGAATTTAATATAATGAAATATTACTGGGCCCCTAAGATACTGTGGTTATGAAAAAAAAAAACCCCAACAACCTTGGTTCCTCTTGATTTTCAAAACTGTTATTCTGGTGTTCTGGGATTTGAGTTTATTTTTTTCTCCATTTGCTTTTGAGCCTGCAAAAGAACTATTTTTCTCCCTTTCACTTATGATATGATACATGAATATTTGAAGAAGCCTATAAAGTTATGAATGAAACATCAAGAATACAGCATGCAGAAAGCCAAGGGATTATTTTATCTTTATATTTCTGAGTGAATGCTGTGCATGCAAGCAAGAAAATGATTTCACGGACTAAAGCTTCCTTCCTGCCCATGCATCTGATAGCGTGCCCTTAGCCCTGACCTGTAATGTTTCCTGACAGGCCATCTGGGGCTGCTGTACCTGTACCAGCCCCGCCGATGGCCCCCGTGCTGTTCCACTCCCACAAGGCTCCCTGCGCTGCCCCCAGCCTGGGCTGCATCCCCCCCGTCACCCCCAGGGCACCTCTCCCCCTCCTGCTCTCCTGCTCTGCACGTCACGCTCCTCGCGGGGCCAAGCCAGGCCACCTCACTGCTGTTGGCATCACAGGTTGTCTCAGAGGCTCAACATCCATATTCTTACAGGGAACTGCTAAAATTAGCTCTGCAGCCAAATCCAAAATAGCAGTCCCAAGTCCCCCTCACCTAACCCTTGCACGGCATGAGCGCAGACACACTTGTGCCCGCAGACGGGGTAGGTGATGCTGACTCTCTCGGGAGACCCAAAGCCCTTGGCTCTGGATCCCAGTTCTTCCTTTATAGAATCATAGAATCACTTTGGTTGGAAAAGACCTTTAAGATCAAGTCCAACCTTTAACCTAACCCTGCCATCCCACCACTAAACCATGTCCCTAAGCACCTCATCTATCCTTCTTTTAAATACCTCCAGGGATGAGGACTCGACCACCTCCCTGGGCAGCCCACTCCAGAGCCTGACAACCCTTTCGGCGAAGAAGTTTTTCCTAATGTCTAGCCTAAACCTGCCCTGAAATCCCTTTACTGGGATTTCTCTGCCCTGCAGGCCTGGTTTTTACCAGGCAAAGTCACAGCTGTGTACATGAACTCTGCCTTCCCTGCCACCCCTGCAACTGGACAATTTAGACCTGAATTTAGCTGCTGAAAAAAACCCCAGTTACAAATAAATTATTTCATACACATGCTTTCAATGTACTTTGGGGTAAGATCCTGCTGTACTGTGCACATTGGTGTGGGTGACAGATCAGGAACTGAATTCCCTCCCACTTCAGCTCTAGAGAGGTCGAAGAAGGTTGAACCAAGAGGAGCTGGACTTGGGATGAGAGCAGACCAGAAATCGGGCAATCCTGTAAATCCTGTGCTAAACGTGTGCCCCAGCCTTTTTCTAAACAGTGAAACACCTTTTTCTGCTGTTTACCTCAGAGGGGGATTTGACCACGCCGCATGCTTTGTTCTGGACTCATTCTTCATTAACATAAATCTTTTCCTAATCAATATTCCTAAAGACTCCAGGAAGCCACTGCATAAGTAAGAGTGAGCTGAGATGAGGGAAGAGGAGGCTGGATTTTGAGGAGACCTTCAGTCACACATCAGGGCAGCCACAGGCAGCAAAAGGCAAGGAGAACACATTGCCTGCACCCCGTGCGCATCCCCCGGAGGTCAGCGACCATGCAAATGTCGGGCTCAGCCCCCCTCAGAGGTAAGGATCCCCCATCTTCCAGATGTAACCGTCCACAGGCTCTGCTTCCAGATTTGCTCGCTGAGGTGAGCAAACTGTTTCCCTAATGGACTGTGAAGAGCTATAAACATGATTTTTTTTTATAGGCTAAACAAGGCAGAGATTTTGCAGCATTAACCTGAATGCTGTTATTATTGAAGTCAATAGCAAAGCTCTTGCAGACTCCAAGAGACTCCTCTCCATCGGAAGAATCAGCAGCATTCAGCTTAATCACAGAGCTGCAAGCAAATGATTAAACCTTTGGGGAAGGAGGTAACAGCAATCTAACATTTCTTTGCTATTCCCATCAGCAGCTGATGGAAGGAGGAGTGTCTCAGCATCTGCCCACACTTCAGAAAACTGCAGCACGTGCGCTCACATATCGATGCAGCTTATCTTATCCAGGCATGGACCTTTGTACCAAGTCACATCATTTCATCAATATTCTGATACAGATAACTTGCTGGATCAATCCAAGCTAGGAATCCTTCTTCCTTCACATTTTAATCCTTCTTCTGTGACTTGGAGCCACATCCTCCCTCTGGGGCAGGAGCCTTCCCATCAGGGGTGCTGACGCTTGATTAAAAGGAGCTGTGTTATGAGATTTGTCTACACCAGTTGACTCTGTGCTGGGAGGGCTGAGAGGACTTCAGACAACATCTTCCCAAGCCAGGTCATGTCAGCAAGCTGTTCATTAGTGCTTGCCAGCCATCTGTGCTCCCGTTTCCAGTGAAGTCGTACCTTGTGGGAGACGTGCTTTTCTGAAGCAAAATTTTGCATGAAGGATGTCGGTCCCTTTTACAAAGCGTTAGCCTTGAGGCTCAGCCTTCACGCACGAGCTCTGAGGTTGAATCTTCCAGCACTGTGCCACGAGCTGAATTCTCATGAGCTGACTCCCAACTACCCTCACGAAACATAATTTTCCAAATGTTATTTCCACCATTAGCTGCTATCACATGAAATCTTCCAAAGTAGCCTGACTTGCCATTTGGGCTCCACCGACATGAAGGTTAACCACAATTTAAGCAGAAGACAGACTCTATCCAGGGAAAGCAAAGCTTTTCTCCTGTAATCCAGGACTGCGGACAAAGTGTGAAAGCTGATGTGTGAAGAAAGCCTTTCTCCAAAATCCTGCTGGGCTGACAGCAGCAAAATCCTGGGTCTGAGCTGTGAGCTGGCATGATACCAGAGCTGCCATGAGAGCAAGAGTCAAACCAACAGACAGCATCTTGTCGTGAAGGAAAAGACTCACTTCGCTACAAGAACACTTTAAAAAGGTGCTAAAAAAAGGATGGCCAGAACAGTGGTGCAGGGCGCTGGGAGGTGTCAAAGCCCTGCAGCACTCAGGCGACAGGGATCCAGTTTAGGTGACCGCACGTATGGAGGAAAGGTGAGACAAGAAGAATTTGGGGATTAATTTCTTAGAAATGGAGAAGACAAAAAAAAATCAGGAATCCTGGGAGATGTCCAGGAGGATAAAGAAGAGCAACATTTACCATCTTTGCCAAGCAAAGAATGGGAGTCTCTCTTTGATTTCTTTTTGCTCGTTCACTTTGATACGAGTGGCTTGCAGCAAGCGCCGTCTTTGCTCGCGTTCTTTGCATCCGATATGCCACTATCGATTTGGTATCGGCCTTCGTCACAGGCCGGGCTGGCAAGATACCCATCTCAGATCTATTCTCATCTCTTTGAGTTATTGGAGCACACCAACAAAAAGAGCTGCTAAAGTAAAACTACTTGATGTGATTTGTTTGGATGATCAGAAAGGCTTTGAAAAACGCCAGCTGCAGAAAGCAATTGGCAAAAAAGAATAAATGGGCTGCAAGACAAAGTTTGATGCTGGAGATGTAGCATTCACATAGGGGGAAAGGGAAGAACAGGAGTTAAGTGGTTAGCTCTTCTTATGGCAAGGGCTAGCGAGTGCGTGCCCCAAGGCCCAAAGCAGCACGGCGCTGATATAATTGGGGGTGAGCAGTGAGGAGCAGCATCTGCAGACGATGCAAAATGTTTCCATCAAAAGGCTGTTTCAGTGGCTGCTACGCGTTGCACAAGCCCTGAGCAACGCTGAAGACAGGAATTCGTGTCTGGACCACCACAAGTACCTTCCTGAGTAGAGAAGTTGTTCCCCGCCAGGCGCCCGTTCCCTTGACTGGTGGTGACTGCTTTGCACCGGCACAGGGATGGGATGGGGCAGCCAGTAATGCAAATCAGCCGTATGGTAGCGACCCCTGCTCCCGCCTGCTAGCCTCCCTCACTGCGTGTCCACAGCCGGAGAAGCATGGATACCCTCAGGGAACAGCACAGGGGATTTTAATAGCATGGGGCTCCAGACCAAGAACTGCATCCAAAATAGGCTGTCCAAGCTCTGCCCCAGGCTGGCTTGAGAAGCACACATCTATTCCCCTGATCACCAACCCCGCCGTCAGCTCTGCCTGACCGTCAGGGCACCACATTTCACCACTGATTTCATCACTGCTACCTAGCTTGTGTCCTCAAGGTGAGGTCCCGGGGCGAGTGCAGGCCCTCGGCACGACGCTGCGGTAGTGCAGGCACGACTGCAATAGACTGGCTGTCTCTGTGCGACCCGCGTCACAGATTACTTCCAAACATGACTGCCAGCCAGCTGAGGCACCCAGCTCTGCCCTGCTCCCAACGGGGCCAGAAGAGATGTTTTGAAGACACTATGAAGAGCCATCTGAGAACATCCAACACTCCTACAGCATCCCCAGCACCAGCTCAGCGTGACAGAGCTAAGTGGGGAGTAACAACAAAATGAGAACACACCGTCAAGAAAACCACATCTTCTGCGGTGCTGGAAACAAATGCGTGGGTAGCCAAACCCCAGAGAGACTCTTCAAAATCAAAAGCAACCCAGCCTGAACCTCCCAGGAGAGGCAGGAGCTGTGCTTTGCCCTTACCGTGTGAGTCACATGGGGGCCCATTCATCACCACAAAAAACCTAAGTGAAGTCCCAGCTAGACAGCTGTGGTTTGGGATTTTCCCCCCCCATCTGAGGGTGTGGGGCAATGGCAGCATCCGCACAGCACGGAGGCGGCTGCACTGACCTTGCAGCCCGTGGGGCTGTATCGGCTGTGCGTGTGCTTTGCAGTAAATAAACCATCCGAATTCTGCCCCTGCAACGGCGCAATGATGGCGGGAACATGCATGCAGGAGTCAGCGTGAGCGTCCCTTCCCGAGCTCCTGCGCGTCCCGGGCTGCCTCCTCTCCCCCGGGAGCCGACTGCTCACGCCTGGGGCCCGTGAAGCTGCTGGCAACAGCATCTGCTGCCGATCAGTCCCAATGCTCTTGCATAGGAAAGCCTGGCATAGCTCCTTATTCTTCATCCCAGGCACAAGGTACGCTCGTCGGAGATGCCAGGGTGTGCAGCACTACGGCGCTGGGGATCTTTCCAGATGCCCTGGAATTAGTGTAGCGACTGTGCCACCTTGTGCCAGCAACATTTACAAATGCATTTTAACCTCCTGCCTCTCAGATTTTAAAACCACCACGGTGCTCTCGCTCTGACTCTTCTCTAAGAAGGCCAACCAGGGCTCTGCATCTTCTCTTCAGCACGGTCCTTCGCTTCCTCGGGGTAGAGAGGGTGCGTCCTTCCCTGTGGCAGGGAAGGGGCTGGCCTGCAGGCTCTGTGCTGCGGATCATTTGGTTGGGTTCCGACCTCCTCTCTGCCTCTTGCAAATCAGACAGACCCACTGACTCCGACCGATGCTGCTGTGAGTGAGACCCCCACAATATAGCAAACTGGCATCGTGGTCCTAATAATAACCAGGACATTTTACAACTGAACCGCCTTAAGGGCTATTTAGATCTTTTTTCAAATGTGTGTTTTTATTCAGCCAGATGCAACGTGGCCTATACAGGAAAAGAAATGCAGGACTTCACAAAAAAACCCAGCCCGATCCTGACTCTGTGTCCTGATGCAAACTGGCTTAGAAAAGGATGCAGGGCTCACAGAGAGCAGACAACCGAGCAGAAGCTTCAGCGTGATGCTCCAGGCTGCAGAGTGCATAAGCTGGAGAGAGCCAGAGGCAGGTGATTTTCCTCCTGTACCTGCTGAGATGGAGGGGGGACCCCTGTGGAAGGGAAGGGGCACATGCAGGGAGGAGACCCCAGGGTGATTCTGGGCCTGAAGACTTTGATCTAGGGCTGAACGCTTTGCTGACACAGATTCAAAGGGCTTAATCTCCTCAAACTTCCAAGAAGAAATCTGAGAGTAACACGGCTGTCGTGAGCAGGTACCCAAACGAAGGTATGGCACGCTCTATAGTTCTTTCACCTGATGGAGAAAAGTAGGAAAATAACTAAGTGGCTACAAGCTGAGGCCAGACAACTTCTACCTAGAAGATGTGCTCACACCTTTATCCCAGAGGGCGATGAACTGCTGGGACATACCCCCGCGGGATGTGGCAGGTTGGTCACTGCTTCCGTTCATGGGCAGTTGGACTTCAGTGAAACCTGAGGGCCTGTGCTCGACACACAGCGAAACCTGATGTCCCTCACGCCTTGCAGGCTGCACGAGATGGTCTAACGGCATTAAACCATGAATCCTCTTTGGGTTTACATTTCACAAAGCCATGGATGCTGTATGACACCACCGTGCTAATGCAAGCTGTTGTCTATCCCGAACGTCCTGCAGAGCCATGCACAGAGCTCAGACTGGCCAGAGGGCAGCTGTTGAGCTGCCCAGATAGGAAACCGGAGATGTTTCAGCAAGGAAAAGTTCTGCAATGCACGGGCAGCTGCTGGGTGTCCCCATTCCCCACAACAGCATGTGGGAGCAGAAATAAGCCCATGGGCACACACGTCTGTCTCATCTCTGTATTGGACACCCAGAGGGTGGATTTGCATTCCCTTTTGCTTCTGTTTAAAGCTTGGCCCTCCTGGGCCACCCCAAAGCTGGTGAAACCAATGGCAAGACTTGCTCAGTGACAAAGGGGTCAAACATGTACAGGACAAGGACAAAGATACACCTAGGCAAGGCACGACTGCAAGTCAGGGCTTCTTCCCACTATAATCCTGCTCTGCTGGGAGATCCTGGGTCTCACCGCTGATGAAGTAGGACCTCAGCAGAGCTCCACACCCTCTGCACAACAGGCTACGACTGCGATACAGTTAAGGGTGTTTTCAGATGAAATACATGGAAAGCCATTTTAAAAAATAAAATCAAAACAAGATACCTCACACCTTTGGGGTTTTCACCGCGCCTCATAGGGACCCAAGAGCACTGAGGCAGTGCCACCAGCAGGCAACGACAGAGGGAAGGACAGGGGGGCGTACGGGAGGAGCCGAGGGGGCAGCCATGCATTACGCCCTTCTCTTGCCTTTCACCTTCCCCAAGGTCTTGGCAAAGGAGCGGGAGAGGGGAGAACAGCAAAGGTGCGCTCACAACAAAAACAGACCAAGACAAGGAAACCCAATCAAAACAATACAGCCTTCAAGGCTCAAGCATCGCACAGAAGGAGGATCAGAAGTAAGCTGGGCTCTAAAAGGCCGAGACGGCACCGAAACAGGTTGAGAGCGGGAATACAGGAGGGCAGAGAATAAAAGTCAATCCATCTACAGGAGGAGGAGGAGAAAAGGAAGGAAGGGAAGGAGGAGAAAGAGGGTTATATTTTCTGGATTTGGGGTTTAGAGACTTGATTCCGTTTTTTTTCTTTTTTCATTTTTTTCACAAAGGATCTCACACCTGATATTCCTCGTTCCATCCATTTCGGTTCACCAAGGGCAATGAAGAAATTCTCCTGCCTTTCGTACTCCTCCTCATCTACTATCTTAACCCTTACGGTCTTCCTGTAGGGACAACAAGAGAAGACAACCATGTACAGCGGGTCGGCTGGCTGGAGGCGAGGCGGCGGTGGCGGCGGCTCCTGGCACGCAGCCCCTTCCCCAG